CACAGGTGACTAACAGAGTACAATCATCACATGGTTATCTGTGGCTGACAACTGTAAGATCATCATATGGTAATTGTGTACCATGTGCTTAAAAAGAAATGTACCCTACTCTGTCCTTTATGAAAATGTTACCCAAATGGTATCCTGGCCTTGTCCCCTTCCCAGAAACAAAGGTGAAAAACCCTATTGGGTTAGCCCACACCAGTCAGCAAAGCAGTTTTCCCCTGTAGATGTGGACACATCTCATACTCACCAGGCCATCCCAAGCAGAGGCCCCCTATCTCGCAGTACCACTCTGCTGCTGAGATAGCTCTTCTTCTGCTTTCTCTGCATTTGCCACACTTGAAAAATAAACTTTTGCATCATGCTATACCAGCCCTGACTCCTCCATTTTTCACTGAGAGCCCCACCCTTGCATTCTTTGCTGGCGTGAGGGCAGGAGACAGAGAAAAGCAGAGGGTCACTCAGAGACACCCCCACCACTGGATGCAACAGGAGGATACACATAAGCTTCTTACTAATACTGCGGCATCTTATCAAGGAGGCTAGAGCATGTATAGCTATTCATATGTTCTGAGGTCCTGGGACCAGTGTCTGAGATTCTATGGCATTTTACTATCGGTATGATTCTGTCATTCATGAACATATGATACATCTGTACTGGCTACGTGTTTTACTTCTTTATTCATTTTCTCTGTCAGAATGCTTCAGAGACTGAGTAGGCCACTATTTTTGTAGTAATGTGAGGCATGTGGAATACATAATCAAGGTAGTTTTTAATTCCATTTTTTCTAATTATTAGTAAAGAACATTTATTCTATTGGCTTTTTCAGGCTTATTCTTTTATAGCTTGCCTATTAAAATATTTTGTCCTTTTTCATACACTTACTTACTCTTTATAGGTTCCTAGAAGTCCTTTATGTGTTCTGGGTAGTAACCATTATTAGTTACATGCAGGGAAAATATCTTTCCATTTTGCAGCTCCCTTTTTTACTTTATTAATGTTGGTTTGAGTGAACAAAAGTTCTCTATTAAAGTCTGTGCATTTGTCGATCTTTTCATCTTACCTAGTTCAAGTTCGGATCATTTTCTACTCTATTTTCTGGCAAATGACTTTAGACCCTGGTAGTGCCTTGTCAGGTATCCACGTATGTAGGTCTGTTTCTGTCGTTTCAGTTCTGTGCAGCTTTTTATTCAGCAGCTACACATGGATGCTTGCTGTGTACTGGTCACTGTCTGATTCCTGCAAGCCGGTTGTGTATCACGCAAGCACTTCTGCCCTTGTGCTCATTGTCCAGTGCTGTATTTTGCCAGGATCCTACTTGTTAATTATTGTAACTCTATAAATCTGAATACCCAGAAGGACAAATTCAACTACCTGATTCTTTTCCCAAATTACCTTTGCCTTTTTTGGCCCTTTGTATTCTCATACATTTGTATGATCGTCTTTCCAAATTTCATGAACAATATTGTTGGTAGATGATATTTATTACCTTTCCACCCCTATAAGTTTTTGCTACTCTTTCCATATATATGTGGAAAGTTATATTTTAAGTAAAATTGATAGTTAAGGGTCTATAACATAGGCTCTTTAGCGATTTTTGTATGAATTTTAATTATCTTCTTATATGAATGAAATATAAAGGTGTGATTAAGCCTGAGACACTTTCCAAACATTTTTTTCAGAATGGTCTCAACTTTCTGATCTAAGGATAACCTATCACCCATGGCAGTCTATATAGTTGCGCATACTATGTATGCAGAATACACTGTATACAATCAAGTTGGGACTATTTCATTATCAATGGAAGTTCACTTACTCCCAACGGCAGGGCTTCCTGATAAATGTCTACTTCAGAAAACAGAGCTTAATCCCAAACTCCAGATGGAATTTCCAATGTCCACACTACCAAACAAAAGGAAATAATCTCTTAGGTTAAAACAAAAGTAGAATAACTTGTATATGGAATTATACTGAAATTTTTGACATTAATCTAAATCTTTCTAATTCATTAGAAGCCAAGATTAATAAAAGGTAATATTAAGAAATAATAATCCAGTTTGAAAAAAGAGGAATATTCATCAGAGCAGCTTGTTAGAGTTATTTAAATATATGTATGTAGACAAAAATGCATACAAAAGGTATACTATGAAAACAGAGCTATCTTCTAGCTCAAAGTGTATCAAAAAATTGCATTCAACTAAAAAAATTCAAAGATAGCAGCACTTAAAAATTTACACTCAAACTTTGACATCTTAAGACTGTTTTTAAAAATTTTGCTGTTTATGTTTTAGGACGATTTCTCCATCATTTAAAATAAAATGTGTGTATTTCTGTTAGGAAACTAGTATTGTCAACTATTTATTAGAAAGTCTTAGGGGCTGGGGATTTAGCTCAGCAGCAAAAGCGCCTGCCTGGCAAGCGCAAGGTCGTGAGTTTGGTTCCTGGTACCGGAGAAAAACAAAAACAAACAAACAAACAAACAAAAAAGTCTTATACTTTCCTAATTGGCCAAATTCCATTTATTATCTTCTAGGTCCTTCAATAGCGAATATGAAGGATTTCTAGTTTTTGTTTTAAAGCATCAAATCACTGAAAATATTCAGTGTCCCAGGAAAATTAAGTTTCATGCCACAAAAAATAATTATAAATATTAATATACAAGATGCAGGCCAGCATTTTATGATACCACACTACCCCTTGTCTGTGGGACCTTAGTATTTCTTGTCTTTAGCTTTCTATGTCTTCTCTCTGGGGTCTTAATATGTTGCCATATGACCCAGCAGTCAGGGCAGCCAAGGTCTATTACTGCCCTTGCCTAGTACTTCACTTTGCAAGTCTCCCTTCTAAATGTTAAATGTTCCGAGAGCTATAAGAGAGTTTTCCATAGTCCTTTTCCAACTGTGTTTAGAATCATCGAAACTCCAAGAACAATTCCAAAACGCTGTGAATGGTGGTTAGATACCTCACCTAGAGTGTGTAGATGTACTCAGTGTAGGTATCTGAATCTCTCTCCATCCTGACCTAGATTTTTCTGTATACCAATTTTGGTTATAAGGTAAAGTAGGATAATCTACTCTTGCTCATGTTTCAGGTGGCTTGTTTTTCTTTTTAATGTCATTGCTGCTAATTACTGCCTAGCTAGTGAATTGTCGGTAAGTCAGTTTTTACCTCTTGATTTTATTTTCTTAACACAATTTTCCAGTGGTATAGACTATTTCTTGGGGTCTGTTTGTCTGTGATTTTCCATGTGGTTCTGCCCTGGTTCTGTGAAGATAGACAATGATGTGTTAACCATCTACTGTATTACTATTTCAATTTACCTACCAGATACTATTTCCTTTTATACGATTTTCCCTATTGTCAGTATTTACAAAAGAAAGGCGCTTTTCTATGGTCACACCTGTTTTATTTAGCAGTAGGTTGCCTGATTGTCCTCACCCAATGACAGCAAACCTTTTAGAGCTTTCAGTGATAACAAGTAGCCAGCAGTAGCATGCAGGTTCACCACCACTGTTCTAGCCCTTTATTATTATACACGTCTATAAAGATCATTTAATAAAATACATTTCTGCTTCCTAAGAATATTATTTAAATAGGTATTGAACATTTACTATATGGCATCCTCATGCCAGGCACTGGAAACAATAATGAATAAAACAGTTCCTGCCCTCAAGAAACTTTCAGTATGATGATTTTTGGTTTAGTGCGTGTAATCTCTTCGGTCCTGATAATCTCCCTATGTGCTGTGGCATATGCTCAGCTCTTCTTTCTTACACATGCTAGCCTGAAACAAGTCACTTCTTTCTGTCCTTGCTTAGTGATCATGTAGTAAATTTCAGTGTTCTTTAGGGTCAAGGAAGTGTATGTCTTGTAAAGATGACATATGTATCTTTTACAGCATAATATATTTCTGAATGATGAGAAGTTAATTTTTTCACTGGTCACTACTATATCATAGGACAGCCATAAATGAATGAAGCACAGATTGTGCTTGACACAGTTAAAAAGACCTTGAGGTAAAAGAAGAACTTTTAAATCGACTCAGAATGGTTCTTAGAATAATTGAAGAGGTAGTATGGGTGTTTTGTATCCTTGAAAACTCTTTGGCAACTTTTTGTAATAGATTATATTTAACTTTCCCTTGCTCAGCTGTTTGTCAGAGTCCAAGAACTGACTTATGCCTGAATAAAGAAGTCTGAAGTCCCATCCTGGTCTGGTTTTGCGTACCTCTGCCTCCGAGTGACATTGGAGGAGAAAGTGTCATTTCAAAAGCACGGTCTCGCGAGGCATCTAAGTTCACTAGTGACAACAATTTGGCATTTTTGTGGCTTTGTATTTATAAATATGTGTCAGTGTTTTGCAGTAGATAGACTCTCTATAGGAGAGAAGACAAAGAACTTATAAATTCTCCTTATTATGTCTGAAAGATAATACAAGAGACATTCATGCATGCATAGCACTGTGCTGCTTTTCGTATGAGAAGAGGGTATAAGGAAATTTTATAGGAGAGCTAGCTTGATTTTACATAAAATGTAAAATTTTATCATTAGTTCAGTATTAACATTAGCTTTTCCAGTTATGTAAGTAAACTTACAAGGTTTCTTAAAGAACTTAAATGTTTTAGAAATACTTTCATTTTGATTTCAGATAATTCCACAGTGAATATAATTTATTATACTTGTACAAGGCCCTCAGGTTTATCTTTAATGTCATCTCGTCACTGTTTTTTAAAGACCATTAATGTAGTATCATCTACATTCTCTTCATAAAAAATGATTGCTGCAATCAGCCCATTATTGTAATATTTTAACATTATTCCTTAAACGTCCTGTCATGTGAAATAAAAAGACAATGATAATGATTCTATTGATAGTGGAACCATACAGGCCTAATAGAATATGTCTGTTAACTTGTCTTTCCTTGTGTAGCTCTTGATCATGTTCATAAGACAGAAATCTTTACTTATTCTTACTTTTTCTTTTTCTTCCACACATAGGGATGTGAACTTATTGCAACTCCTGATCAGGACTACACTGACTTTACCAAGTGCCTGCAAGTGCTTCAGAAAAAAATAAAAGAAAGAGGCCTACAGGTAAGCTAGACACTTGTTTAGGGGCTAAAGTTCTCCTTACCAAGGTTCTAAAATACCACTTAAAGCTCTGATGTATTGGAAATATTTATTAATTTTGTGATATTCTGTTTGGATTTATATTATGTCTTTTTGTATATATGAAATAAATTTATATTGGGCCGCTAAAACATTAACAGGTACATGTAAATCAAAGGTCACAAATACGAAGGTCTTATAATGTCAAGGTATAAAGTGGGTGCACTGGACCGTGTACGGGATCAGAGTTTATTGTTCATCTCTAGGTTGTTATTGTTGTGCAGAAGTATATATGTTTTTTGTAATATATCTCTTTACATATTGTATACACAAATCAGACAGACAGCTATGCCTTTTACTTGGCCCATCAGCCATCACTGCAGCTTTTATGTGAACACACAAAATATTTCACCCTTTTGTTTTTAAGTGGGAGAAGAATCTAGTACTTTTCATTTATGTATTCTTTAAGGTATTCAGTCATGATTTGTCATCTATAATCCCAGTGTTTAATCACATTCATTATTTAATAACTAAGACTATATTTTGCTACATTTTTTGATAATTATTGAAATGAAATATGAAATTCGTTAAATTCTTTTTTTGTGGCCTGAAGTAGAAGAGGTTTATTTTGGCCCATGGTTTCAGTCCATGGGCAGCTAGCTCCAAGACCTCATGGCAGAAAGGCATGCTAGAGGAAAGCTGCTTAATGCCTAGCATCCGAGAAGTAGCACCAGAGAAAAAAGGTCCAGTGACCAGATAGAGGCTCCATGTCTCCTCCAGACACAACCAGAAGTGTCTTTTGCTATCTCCTGGGTGTCTCTCAAGTCACTCAAGATTAACCATCATGTGTCTGACCATTGTCAACTTGACATCCAAACACATCTTCTTAAACAATACTTAATCTCCAAATAAAGACAAGGTCTTAATTTTACCTAATATTATGTAATTATGCTGCCATATAATTACACAATCAGAAATGCACTATTTTTCACTAGAGCCTCAATAGTCACAGCACTGCTCAAAATCCCAAGTTCAGTCTCCTCTCAGATTCACAATAACTTTTACCTGTGCATGCCTGTAAAATTCAGAAAGCAAGTTATGTAATTCCAAGACACAGTGGCACCATTTAATTATTAATTATTAACCATCTCCATTACAAAAGGGGGGAGGAACAGGGGAGCAGAAAGTAATAGGACCAAAGCAAGACAGAAAAGCAACAAGTAAACATTAGATCCTGTAGTTCCATGACTAGCATTCAGAGAATATGGTGACATGATGTGATCTCCATAGGGTATAGCCAGCCTCATTCCTAGGGCCTTGCTGGTTCCTCCTCAGATGGCCTCTCCCTTGGGTTGGCTCTGCTCACTGCCTTTGCTCAGTTTTCTTTGGCTGATGTTCCACATCCCTAAAATCTTGAGCTTCCTGTGGTTTCTGGTGAAGCTTTAGCCTCATACGTGCAGTGTCACACATGGCTCTTTTAGGGCCTTCTGGCAGGGACTTATACACTGTTACACATTATATGGACTTCCAGGCCTTCCTTTAAAATCTGAGTGGAAGCCTCCATGACCCTGTAACTCCTGTATTCTGCACACCTGCAAAATCAGTATCATGTGTATGGATGGCAGCAAAGTCTGCTGCCAGTGTGAGCAGTAGCCAGGTCCTCTTGGACCGTGGCTGCAGTGGCTTCTGAGTGCTTGGTTGGATGAACATGGGGAAATACTTCCAAGGTAACTCTGAATAAGCAGAATACCTGAGGCCTCTTTTCTCAAAACAAAGGCTTTCAAAAGATTTCAATTTTAATGACCTTAGACCTGTAACATGGGATCTTGCTGGTTCCTGAGATACCTTCAAGGCATCTTTCTTTTTGTCCTGGTGGGAAGTACTTGGTTTCTTTTTAATGGCACTAATATCTCCAGCAACCATATCCTCTTTGACTTCAACTTTACTTGTGCTTCTTTTCTGAGCAAACTGCAAGCTTTTCAAAACTTTCACTTGTTTTCTGCTGATTCACATTATAAATGCCATTCTGAGCCTTTAAGCCTTCCTATTTCCAGTGGATCATTTACACTGTGATGTCCCCTCTCTTCAAGGTTCCTTGGTCCTTGTCTTCCTGCATGTTGATGAGTAGAATGTTAGAAATAGTAAATGCTTAGTTTAGGTAGCTGAAGAGCCCTTGGCAGCATCTGAAGATGCTCCTCATCCAGCTTGTTTCACTTAGATGCTCTTTGCTTCCCATTTCTACTTTGGCCCCAAGAATCATATCTCAACAAGAATGGAGTCCTGAAAGAGCTTCAGACGGGGTGAAGATAAAATGATCACATATAAAATTTGAGGGAGATGTGGCTAATCTGTTGGCAATCCTGAGTAAGGGTTACCTGATAAGAGACGCATACTGGGAAGAAACAAGCAACAACCCTATAATTCAGCTGTGTTTAGTGATAGAGTAGAAGCTGCTGAGGGGGAAAGTGGATGTGGCTCATAAGTTGTCATGGGCTTTGTGTCACAAAGTGCTGCATCCTGAAGAATTTGTGACTGGGTAATGGCAGCTCACTGCCCTTGCCTTAGCCTAGCAGTGAGCTCTTGCTTGCAGAGAAATGCATTATTGCTCAGCCACTGTGGATCCAGTACGTTCTCTGCCATTATCCAATGTTAGTCTTTCTCCTTGTTCCTGGAGTATACCATACCCCACTTACCTGTAGGTGTTTTCACATGTTTGCCTTTCTGCCTGGAATTATTTTTTCTTTTCTGTCTGGCTTTCCTTAACTACCACTCTTCATTATCTTCTGCTACTCTATTTTCGTGCTTTATTTTTCCTTCCGAGCATTCTGAATGCTGTAGTCATTTTGTTCACTGATTTTAAATGTTTTCTTGAAGTTTTTGTTCCCAGCTTCATCGTGCAGCCCATGAGCTGGGGCTGTGTCTGCTCCTGGGAAATTTAATGCTGGCACTGGTATAGAAGAGGTGCTGTGTGAGTATTTGGTATGTTCTGTGCTCAGGGAAGCGGAAACATAATAAACAAATTGGAGTTTGGAAGCAAGGGGACAAGAGTGTTTCAAGAGATTTTCAGTGTGTATGGTAAACTGACAGTGTTTTGAGGGCAGTAGAACTCCTCCTCCCTCTTTGCAGGTTCTCACCTGAGTCTCAGAGTTAAATTGATGTAAGACAGATCAATAGGAGCAAAGCATATACATTTATTTAATACACATTTTACGTGGTACAGGAGCCATCATAAAGAAATGAAGGGTACTTAGAACCAATTACTTAGGTTAGTTATACTATTAGTGTCTCTTAGCTCATAGAAAAGGGAGGTTTGTGCTAATATCCACTGGAGAATTTTTTATGCCCATATCTTGTACTCCGAGTAACTACTTTAAAGATAATAGTATGCATTGTATTAACTGTTGTTATTCACCTGTCATCTTGTCATGAAATTTTGTTTTATCTTTTTTCTATAAAATAAAAACAGCAAAGAATCAGTTATTTATATACTGGGTTGGGCAGAGAATATTGAATTGTGAAGAAGCAACTAAATATGTGGAGAACTTTAACAGATAAGTTCTTTTAACCAGCTCTGTTCAGAATTCTTTTGGTCTTAATTTTTCATGCTTAAGGATAAAGTGTTGCCTCTTCCACATAAGAGATTGATCTCCTCTTAAGAAACAGTATGATAGAATAATCTTTTTATATTGGGCTGTTTTTAAAGTGCTCTTAACGTAAATATTCAGTATGTTAGAGTGTTTTAGGGGATAATATATTCTTAACTCCTTCAACTTCAGTGAGCTGACAAATAATTTAAAGATATTTATGATGGAGATTATTAGGATTAGCTTGGTGTTTAAAAAAGCATAGAGTGAAAGCTACATTACTCATAATTAAAACTTTTCAACACAGCTCTCGTTCAGGCTGAAATAAATGGATATAGTAATTTTCCCTTCTCTGTAGTTTCATTTTCTGCAGTTTCAGTTATCTGTCGTCAGGTGTAGTTGAAAATATTAAACAGGGAATTCCAGAAATTATTTGCATTTTAAAAATTTTGCACCATTCTAAGTAGCATGTTGAAATTTCACACTACCCCTCTTTGTACCTCTGGGATATCTGGAATATGAATCATTGCTTTGTCATTCATACACACACACACACACACACACACACACACACTGGTACCTTGGTTCACGAACTTAATTTGTTCCGCTGTTCTGGGGAAGACGGCAGCATTCATGTTCATGCAAGGAAGATGGCCATGGCTGTGTTCATCACCGGATGTGGACTTCATGAAAGGAAGGAAAATAATGCTAAATGCTTTTTTGTGTGAACCTAGTTGTTCATGAAAAGATCTAGTAACCTTCTAGTAATCCAGTAATCTTAATTACTAGATTAACTGTCACATTATCACAGGGCTTGTGTAGAAGTAATAGCCTAATGCTTCTATATCATAATTCCTACATTATTTACTTTTGACATTGATTTATTTTGCCTCAGAAGAAGAAAAAGGGTTATTTGATACAATAAGAGAAACTAACCATATTCACATCACTTTTATTCTAGCATGTTGTTGTAATTGCTGTTTTGTTATTAGGTATTCTTATTAATCACTTACTATGACTCACTTATAAATTAAACTTTATGATAGGTGTATATGTATTAGCTGAGAGAAACATAGTATGTGTAGTTATTGCTAGGACCCACGGCTTCCAACAATCAGCGGTGTCTTGGAACATATTTCTAAGAATAAGGGGGAGCTACTGTCTGTTAAATCTTAAGAAATAGAGTATCTGTGAGCTTCCGTCTGATTTTACATTTGTTCTGGAAGTATACTGTTGTATTTGATTTCAAGTAAAAGCAAGAGTAACAGGATTATCACAAGTTTTCTCTCTGTAACTTCTTGTCTCAATAGAAGATCATAAAGAATTTCACGTTTTTCCCTAAGATACATAAAGACACTATCAAATAATCTTTATGCTTCTTCTAATAAATTCTGTCAAATT